AGTTTTTTTTTTTTTTTTTTTTTTTTGTCATTTCTCCATGATTTGAACGTGAAAGCCGTCGAAAAATTGTAAACCGGGCGTTTGGACGATATTGCCTCCCTTGATTGCTTTGAACCTAACACTTCCAAATGTACGAACATTAGTTTCTCTCTTGATTTATTAGTTTTCAAAACTTGTCTTGAATTTTGAAAATGGTACGTGTTGACTCTGGCAATTCGGAAGACAGTGTCGACGAAAAATTGGCCGAAGGTTTCTTCGAAGGAAAATTTAGCGGAAGTAAGAGGAGAGAGAGTGAGAGATTCGCTGAGATTGCTGAAGACTCGATATCTTATTTTACTTCCGTTGAACGGTTTAAATAACAAATCTAATTACGAAAATAGAAAAACCAATTGTACAAAGGGAAGTTGACGAAGACTTCGCCCAAATTGACAAAACAATGGCCCCTAGAATCAGGCTCCTCCATGGTGAACTCAATGTTTTTACAAACCTGACTAAATAAATCAGGGCTTTGCTTTTATTTAACAGTACGTAATAAAACAAAAAACTTCTAGATAAAAGCAAAAAAAAATCTATGAACCGAAAAGTAAATGATTATCGAACAGGGAATGAGATTTAGATACCGAGAAAGTTAGTCATGCTCTGTCTAAACATCTCATTCTTGCAACGTACCTGTACTTTGTAACCAGGCAGTGGAGAAACACAGCCATTTGAAGTTTGGTAAAATCTGTACCAACACATAACCTCATTCCCCCCACCAAAAGCCATGAAATGTTTAGAGGCTCCATTCAATTCAGATTTCTGCAAACCATATCAGTATAACCGTCCAAGCCACCACTATCAAATATTATTTACTTTGATTCTTTATGCATTATTATCAGCCTCACGGTTCTAAAACGCATCTGTTAGAAAGAGGTTTCCACATCTTTATAAGAAATGCTTCGTTCTACTCTCCAATCGATGTGGGATCTCACAAACCACCCTCCTGGAGGCGTCCAACGTCCTCGTTGGCACATTGCACGGTGTCTGTCACCAATACCATTTGTAACAGCCCAAGTCCACCACTAGCAAATATTGTCCGCTTTGGCTCGTTACATATCGTCGTCAGCCTCACAATCTTAAAACGCGTCTGTTGGGAAGAGGTTTCCACATTCTTATAAAAAATGCTTCATTCCTGTCTCCAACCAATGTAGGATCTCAGGAGTAACAAGCTTTCACAACCTAAGGTATAACAAGCTCTCACATAAATAAGATATATTTCATCACATACCTCCCACCGCCATGGAAAGGAGGGGTCGCACCCCCAATGAGGGGGACTATCTTAGGCATAGGAGGTACTCTACACATTCCTAAGTAAGTTCCTAAGTAAGATATCATATAGTAAGTAGGTGGTTTATTTAGTATAATTTTTTATACTCATCCTAGTTTTCCTTTTTCTTTTTTTTTTTGTTCAAGTGTTCGCAGGCGACCAGTCGAGGTTGAGGAGCATTCTAGAGCTATGCGGTCATAGAGGGAAACATATTGAGTAGTTCTTGTCAAATAACCTAAGAGAGAATAGTCATTAAACGATCGAGTTCCATTCGAGCCCCAAGAATATCATGTTTCAAAAAAACTAAGCGACTTTGAGCATGAAATTCTTTCTTCACAATTATTTAAATTACATGATTTTAGTGTTATTATTGACTTAGATTGAGCCTAATATTACCTTGGTCCAACATTAATTTTAGAATTCAGTACGGTTGAGCTTAACTTAGATAAGTCAGATAAGATAATGCGTCAAAGCTACTTCAAGATTATTGTCACTACCGTGTGTTGAAATGGTCAAGTACCTTCTAAACAGGGTCATCGCCCCATAAACCCATCTTGAGCTCGACAAGGGACTACATAAAGTAGACTCATTAGTTGGACCGCACAGGAGTCACTTCTTCTAGATTTAGTGCGACTTTATGGTCTAATAAAAGAGTCACCAACTAATCTTCCATAGATGATGTTCAAGATTGATGTTGTCCTTCATGAGATTGATTTATGACGAGGTTACACCTTTCAAATTCAAGATATCAATAAACTCCTGTCATTATCCTATCGAATTGAATCTATGATTGTTGTATTATTTAATTTCATACACAAATTACTCATAATGGATTGGGTATTTGATAGAAATAATTTTTTTTATACCAGTATAACTAATAATTTGATAGAAAGGATTAACTAATAATTTAGTTTTTTTTCTTTCAATTACAAATGGAAGAATATAGGATGGGACAATGTAAGGTTATGAATAATTGTGAAGCACATGCATTTGGAATCCTCCAATTCATCAACTTGAAAACTTGACAACTTGACAACTTGGCACTCAAACAGCCATCACTCCGCCCACTGCTTGATTATAAGAAAACAAAATAAACACTATTCTTAGAAGCCGACAAAGTGAGGCGGTCAAAAAAAGGAGAAGAAAAAGGGATTACGCACTCTAAGAGATCTTCAAATTCAGTATAAGAAGAAGAAGAACCAAGAAATCTGATTCAAACTTGTCATATCTTTGTAATGGCGGAATCAATTCTATGCAATGTTGCGGCATCCCTTATAGCCAAATTGGGCTCTCCTGCACTCACTCAGTTTCAATTGCTTTGGGGCCTCGATGATGAGCTTACCAAACTCAAACATACCATTTCAGCCATGGAAGCTGCGCTCCTTGATGCAGAGGAGCAACAGTTCAAGAGCCATGAAGTGAAGAATTGGATTTCAAGGGTCAAAGATGCTTTCTACGATGTCGATGATTTGATTGACGAGTTCGCTTATGAAACCTTGAGGCGACAAGTTATAGCCAAAAGTCAAAGAGGGGCGAAAGAGGTACGTCAAGTTTTCTCTATGCCTCATCAGATGGCATTTCGTTTTAAAGTTAGTCACAAAATTAAAGACATTAGAGAAAAACTGAATGCTATTGATGTTGATAAACATCAATTCCATTTCTCGGAACGTGTTATAGATAATCGAAATGCTGAGTTGAGGAAGAGTCGAGAGACTTCTCTTTTATATATGATGATGAAGTGGTTGGTAGGAATGATGACAAGAAAGCAATTATGGATCTTCTGATAGATACAACTACTAAAGTCAATGAAAACATTGCAACGATTGTCATAGTTGGAATGGGAGGATTGGGAAAAATCGCACTTGCACAAACTATCTACAACAATAAAAACGAAATGGAACATTTTAGGTTGAAATTATGGGTGTGTATTTCAGAACAGTTTGATGTAAAAGTTATTGTTGAAAAGATTATAGAGTCTTTGATCACAACACGTCATCAACGAGTTGTAGAGACTTTTGATTCAATTTCATCCTATGCTTTAGGACAATTGGATGACAAAAGTGCTTGGCTATTGTTTAAAAAAAATGGCTTTTAGAGGTGATAAATCAGAAAAAGAACTCGAAAATTCAAATCTAGTCGAAATTGGAAAGGAGATTGTGGCAAAGTTAAAAGGCCTTCCTCTTGCCATAAGAATCATAGGAAGTCTTTTGTATGCTAAATTTGGAAACACTTATCTTGCAAAGCTGTTTACTGTTAAAAGAATTACCAAAAGATATTAAAAAATGTGTCAAGCTTAAAGCATCTTGAATTATGTGGCTGCAAATCTTTGACTCATTTACCCAAAGGACTAGGTGAGCTTACTTGTCTTCAAACAATGAATCTTTTTGTATTAAACAAAGGTGTTGGTTGTGATTTAAGCGAGTTGAATAGACTGAACAAGTTGAGGGGATCGTTAACTATTAAAGTTTTAGAATTTTGTACAACGGATGATCTTGAAAAGAATTCTTCTAACTTGCAACAAAAGTTGGGTGTTTAAGTTGAAGTTAGTTTGGAATTATTCCAAAGATGAGCCTATGAGTATTGGCTTAAAGGACGACTGCAAAGGGGTTTTACAATGCTTACAACCACATTCAAATGTTCGAAAGATACATATATGCGGATATGGAGAAGTCAAACTATGTGATTGGCTATTCTCGAATGCCCTTATTCACTTAGTCAGCATAAAGCTTTCAGATTGTTTCAAATTGGAAGTTCTCCCCCAATTTGATCATTTTCCTTTTCTCAAAGTATTTAGGGTCTTCAATCATTACCCTGCATCAAGTACATTACATTGACAATAATGATTATCCTTCTTCATCAATGCTTCTTCCATCCCTTAAGAAATTAAGCATAGTATATATGCATAATTTAAAAGGATGTGCCTCATTTCTTACAACAAGCCTTTGTGAACTAAGGATCATTGATTGCCCTCAGTTGGCTTCAATCCCGTGGCATGCCCCTTTGCAATCATTGCAACTAAGTGCAGTTAGTTTACAACTGCTTAATAAAGTAATTGAAAAGATTGCCGAGTCTTCTTCTACCCGGTCTAAAATATCTTCTCTTTATATTAGTATGATGAGTTTCTATCAAGGGAGTTATTTTATCATTTCACAGATCTTGAGAAACTTTCATTCGTAGACTGCAAAAGCTTACAAATATCTTCTTCTCTTGCACAACATCCTACTAATGATGCACTATGGAAAGAGTTTCGAAGTCTCCGCTCTTTATATCTCAGTGAAATTCTTAAGTTGGAGTATTTGCCGTACGGGATTCAACATGTGACAACTCTTTAAAGCATCTGCATAGAAAGATGTCCAAATTTAATAACTCTACCAGAATGGATAGGCAACCTTACATCACTCTCAAACCTGTCAATTATCAAATGTCCAAAGCTCACTTCATTAACGGAAGGGATTCACAACCTCAACTCTTTGAAATCGTTGAAAATTTGGGGTTCCCCCAAATTAATAGATAGGTACAAGAAAGGAAGAGGAAAAGATTGGCCAAAAATTTCTCATGTTCTCTTTGTAGACATTTCGTATCTTTGACATTGAAACGAAGAAGAACTTGTTCATCCATCAACTACAGTTCTCATCCGGTATGCAAAATCATTTCCTCTCATTATTTTTATACTTGAAACTAATTATGTAATCATTTCAATTGATTTCTCTAACTCATCATCTTTCCACCATTATTACAATGCAAGACACCAAAAATTATCTTGGGGAGGATTATTATTATATTTCTCCAAGATGGTTCATCTATGAAAGTTCACTCTTTATTTGGCATAGTCTTCCTGCAAAAGAAGCAAATGAGAACATCTAACCTATCAAATCATTCAGGTACAAGTCTTTGTTTCCTTTCCAAGTAATTTTCTTTATGTACTCGTATTATTATATGTGCCCATTCATTTGTAATTTTAATTTTGTGGACTTGTTAATGAATTGGTAATGTCACATTGGTTTCGGTAAGAACCCATTATCAGATATTATCCTCTTTAACTCGTTACGTATCGTCATTAGCTTTACGATTTTAAACGTGTCTACTAGGGAGAGGTTTTTACGCTTTTATAAGGTAGGTTTCGTTTCCTTTTCGAACCGATGTGGGATCTCACAATCCATCTCTTTTGGAGCCCAATATCCTCACTAGCCCACTATCTATTTACATGCCAATAATGAACTAGGAAGAGTTTGGCTAAGTACATGAGAACGGTGTCCCATGTCATTAATAGACTTCGGCAACATAGGCCCGATCGGGTTCATCTCATGAAAAGTGGTTGAACATGAAGCCATAAAGAAATGAAGGTTGTAGTTATGGGTAGATTTCATTTTCTTTGGCTTTCTATGACTGTACTATGAAGGCTAAACAAAAAAGAAGAAGAAAATGAAAGATAACACTAAACATTAATGTTGTTGAAGATTATTGATTGGTAATTTGTGTGTGGAACCACTATATGTTATGCAGCTTATTTGGTTTGGACATTTTTTCTTCACAATTATCCTTTGTTTGCTACTTCTGTTTATCTTCTTGTTCAAGGCTTTTTTTGTCATTTCTCCACGATTTGAACGTGTAAGCCGTCGGGAAACTGTAAACCGGGCGTTCGGACGATATTGCCTCCCTTGATTGCTTTGAACCTGACCGTCCCAATAGTACAAACATTAGTTCTCTATCGGTTTATTAGTTTTCAAAACTTGTCTTGAATTTTGAAAATGTTTGGGTACGTAACAAAACAAAAAAACTTATAGATACAACCAAAAAAAAGAATCTAAATGATTGTCGAACACGAGATTTAGATACAGAGAAGTTAGCCTTTCTCTGTCTAAACATCTCATTCTCTTGCAACTTACGTGTACTTTGTAACCAGGCAGTGGAGAAACACAGCCATTTGAAGTTTGGAAAAATCTGTACCAACACAGAACCTCATTCCCCCACCAAAAGCCATGAAATGTTTAGATGCTCCATTCAATTTGGATTTCTGCAAACCATATCAAATTGTATTTATCATATAATAGCTCAAGCCTACCGCTATGATATTATTCACTTTGGTCCGTTATGTATTGTTGTCAGCTTCACGGTTCTAAAACGTTTCTGCTAGGAAGAGGTTTCCACATCCTTATAAGAAATGATTCGTTCTACTCTCCAACCGATGTGGAATCTCTCAAACCACCTCCTTGGACGTCCAACGTCCTCATTGGCACACTGCACGGTGTTTAGCTCTAATACCATTTGTAACCACCGAAGCCCACCGCTAGTAGATCTTATCCGCTTTGGCTTGTTACATATCACCATTAACCTCACAGTTTTAAAACGCGTATGCTAAGTAGAGGTTTCCACATCCTTAAAACGAATGTTTTGTTCCCTTCTCCAATCGACATGGGATCTGAGGAGTAAGGTCTAAGACAACCCAAAAAATGAAATAAGATATATTTCCCCACATACCTTCCACCGCCATGGATTAAAAGCGAGAGGATCAACATATATTTCAGGATTCAAGTGCACGGCAGGAGGGCAGACCATAACAGACCACCCAGCTGGAATGGTATATCCTGCTCCAACAAATGTGTAGCCGCCATTTGTGATGATGTTTTGAAGAAGAAGAATCTTTGAGCTCAATATACATACATACATACATACATACATACATACATACCCTTAAACGGGATGTCTCTCAGAGCTTTTCGAAAGATTCCCGGAGCTATATTTGCCAGTCTCACAGTTTCATTGATGAACTGACAATTGAAGGAGTTTAGTTATGAGAAACATAGAGACCTTAAAGAGATGAAATAATTAAAGTAACCTGAAATGTGAATGTCATGGATTTGTATTCTCCCCATGTAAGCCCACAATCTGGATTCTCCCTTGCCTTCAATATCCCCTCATGTTCACACTGATAAAGATGCAAATGATGGATTTAACATGAGGATATTGTTGTTAAAAGTTGAAACAACATTAAACAGACCGTCAGCTCCTCCAGCACATGAGGATTGTTGAGGAGGAATTTAATGGCTAATGTAATAGCAAGTGAAGTTGTTTCGAAGCTCGCAAAAAGCAGCACAAAGATGAGGTCCAGAGCAATTTCCTCTGTGAGAAGAGTTCCATCCTTTGCCAGTTCTTCAAGAACAAAATCAAAAAAATCTGTTTGCTCTTTCCTTGGATTTGCACGCCTTTCTTGCAACATGTTTTTCAGCATCCTCATCGCTCTTTTCCTGCCCTGTTGATTTAGGGTAAGAGACCCTCAATTCCTATAGGAGGTGTTCAAGCCCACTACTAGTCGGTATTGTCCGCTTTGGCTTATTATGTATCGTCATCAATCTCACGGTTTTAAAACACGTCTATTAAGGAGAGGTTTGTTCCCCTCTCCAACGGATGTAGGACCTCACAATCCACCCCTCTTGGGGCCCAGCGTCTTTGCTAGCACACCGCCCGATGTTCGGCTCTGATACCATTTGTAACAGCTCAAGCCCACCGCTAGCAGATATGGTCCACTTTGGCTCGTTACGTATCACCGTCAACTTCACAGTTTTAAAACGCATCTACTAGGAAGAGGTTAGTTTCCTCTCCAACCGATGTGGGACCTCACAATCCACCCCTTGGAGTCCAGCGTCCTCGCTAGCACACCGTCCGATGTTTGGCTCTGATACTATTTGTAACATCTCAAGTTCACCGCTAATAGATATTGTCTGCTTTGACTCGTTATGTATCGGCGTCAGCCTCACGGTTTTAAAATGCGTCTATTAGGGAGAGGTTAGTTCCCTCTCCAACTGATGTGGGACCTCACAATCCACCCCATTGGGGCCCAACTCTTCGTTGGCACACCGCCCGATGTCTGGCTCTGATACCATTTATAACATCTCAAGTTCACCGCTAATAGATATTGTTTGCTTTGACCCATTACGTATCGGCGTCAGCTTCACGGTTTTAAAACGCATCTACTAAGAAGTGTGGTTTATTCTCCTCTCCCATCGAGGTAGGACTCACAGTGTGCATAGCATAATTAGCTAACCTGTAAGCATTTGTTATAAGCTGTTCCAAAAACATTTAGAGGGAAGGAAATCAACCCCTGAATGAAGGCAACAAAGTTGTCTCTCAAATTCTCTTCAGAATTTTCTGAATCATAACTAATCAGCTTCTTTGCAGTCAGATTAAAAATCATCTGCAAGAACAACAAAAATCAGTATCAAACCAAACATGGAGAACAAACAGATTTGGTTCTAAACTTTTCATTGTAATTACACTTGCAGTCTCATCCTTCAATTCAACCGATTCAAGAGATGACCATTGTGTCAATCTTGTGGTAGCTACAGCCTCCACTTCAGATATCATCTTCCTCAGATTTTCAGGGCCAACAAGATGAAGAACCATGTTCTTCACAAACTTATGCATGAAACCGTGCAAAGAACCAACATTTTTCCTTCCAAGTATCTCGGTGAAGGTAGATGGATACCAGCTCTGGAACAAGTGACCCTCTTGTTGAAAGATGAAGTGATTGAAGTCGGGGTCGGTTGAGACAATCAGCGGTCTTCCCACCAAACTTGTTCTGAAGATTGGTCCGTACCTATCCACTCTGTTTCTGATGAAAGGAGGGACATCAGAGGAGGTATTGGGAGCGAAGAACTGGAAGGTTTCACCAAGCAGAGGGAACCCCATTGAACCTGGTGGGAGTTTCCCATTACATTTGGGGTTTCTCCAACGGTAAAGCCAGTGTGTAAAGCTCAAAACAACAATAGTTCCTATCAAAAGAACCCACATTTTGGTTGCTGCAAACTGAAATGGAAGTTTGTGGGTAAGTGGTGCTTGGATGTGCTCTTATCATCTCTTATAGCCTCATTGGACGTTCAACTAGTTAAGATTTTAATGTAAACCTTGTTGATTCAATATGGACAAAAATTACATTTTACCAGTGTAATTAGTCATAAATTATAGTTTACTATATACATCATTTTTTACTCTTTATTATAGGTAAAGATGTGGATATTTGTCTTCTATTACGGTCTATTTTATTATAGGCAAATATGTACGAGAAACCGTCAGGTATGAACAAGGTGGGATGCGGAGGCTGTTTAATCTACAAATGTCTGAAGGTGGATCTGTTGTTAGTCATATAAATGAATTCAATATGATTACAAGTCAATTAAGTTCGGTGGATATTAATTATAAAGATGAAATTAAGGCAGTGATTTTGATGTCATCTTTCTCCGAGTCGTGGGATACTATTGTTGCCGCGATCAGCAGTTCACGAGGATCTGATAAACTGAAGTTCGATGAAATTCGAGATGTAATTCTTAGCGAAAGTATTCGCAAACGGGAAATCGAAGATTCATCCGGCAATGCACTCAGTGTTGATCGAAGGGAAAGAAGTAAATCAAAAGGCCCATACAATGGGCGATCAAAATCAAGGAATGGAGGAAAATCTCCAAATAAACCAAACGTAAAGTGTTGGGGTTGTGTTGAAAAAGGTCACTTTCGGGAAGATTGTACAAAGAGAAAACAGAATAAAAAATCAGAAGATGACGATTATTCGATAAATTCAGCAGAAGACATTAGGAATGCTTCAATCTTCAGCGTGGACAATCCGATTGAATCATGGATTTTGGATTCAGGTGCATATTTTAATTCGTTTCCAAGTAAAGAGTTGTTTAAAATTTCAAGTCTGGAAGTTTCGAGAAGGTGTATCTTGCTGATAACAAAAATTTGGAGATTGAAGGAAAAGAGGATGTCTACGTAAAAACTCCGGCAGGAAATCAATGGACATTAAAGAATGTCATATATATTCCTGGCCTCGAGAAGAACCTGATCTCTATTAGTTAGTTGGATAGCCCAGGTTATGCAACAAAATTTGAGAAGAGTTCGTAGAAGATTGTAAAGGATGCTATGGTGGTAGCACGTGGCACAAAATTTGAAACCTTATACACCACTGCAGGGTGTATGAACATAGTTGTCGTTGCTGAGAGTGCTTCAAATTTATGTCTATGGCATAATAGACTTAGACATATGAGTGTTAAAGGAATGAAGATGCTGGCTGTGGAAGGAGTTTTGAAAGGTCTGAAATCTGTTGAAATGAGTCCTTGTGAGAACTGCGGTATAAGCAAACAGAAATGAGTTAGCTTCACAAATACTGTTAGAGAATTGAAGAAAAGTGTCAGGACAACGAAGTAAGTGGGAGTTGAGGTTGAGTTGCTAAAAGATTCATCTAGTGATGTTGTAGCAGATATTCAAGAAACTCTTGAGACTGCTGTTGAGGAATCGGAGGTAAAGCAAGTGGGAGTTGAGGTTGAGTTGCTGAAAGATTCACCTAGTGATGTTGTGGCGGATACTCAAGA